GGCTGACGCCACAGCACTCACTCTAGCCAGGGCAACAGAGTGAGACTCTTTGTCTCAAAAAAAAAAAAAAAAAAAATGGTCCTAAGAGCATACAGCAAGTGAAGAAACATTTATCAAGAAAACCTATGAAAACTCAGTAAGAAAAGGGAGTCTGGGATTTAAACCAAGGCCCACCCCTCGCTCCAATGCTCCAGCTCAGCGAAATGAAAGAGATGGAAATTGCATTCCGCCCTGGGGCAGCCAGGACTACGGGGCTCCCTCTCTCCCCAGCTCCAGGCCAGAGGGCTCTCTTCCCAGGAGGGGCTGGCAGCAGCAGCTCTCACCCTGCCACAGATGCCTGGGGTTGAGGCTCAGCTCTGGGTGAGTAGAGCTGGGAGGTGGGGGCTCCCTTCTGCCACTCAGCCCCCACTGGTGGGGTGGAGGCTCAACCTTGGGCATGGAGCCCCTGAGAATACTAGGGTGCCAGGCACCTCACCCCAGCTTGTGGAAGCTGAGGAGACCCGGGGCTGCCACACTCTCCCTCCACCAAGCAGGCAGCTCCTAAAGTGGGGTGTCACTCAGAGAGAAGCATGTGTTGTTGCTGCCAGCACCAGAGCCCTGGCTCAGGGATTTCCCCTGGGGACAGAAGTGGGTGAGAGAGAAAAGAGAGAGGGCTCCAATCCTTCCCCTAAGAACTGACTTTATTTGCAACAGGTTGTGGAGAAGCCGAAGTTCAAGCCCAAGGGCACCCTCAAAACCGGGGAGGCTGTGATGAGAGGCAGTAGGGAGGAGACTGCAGGCTGAGCGGGTCTGGAGAGGAGCTGGGGAAGGAGGCACTGGAGAATGCTCCTCGTGCCAGAGCGAATCTCAGACACCAACCCCGGGGACCATTTCCTCCAGGGAGTCTCAGCGTGATTGGATCCGTTCATGGAGCAGTCTGAGTATTGTTGAAAATACAGAAATAGAGAACTCAGCTGGCGACGAGTGGAGCTTGACAGCTCAGTGTGGCCAGGGAAAGGGTCACAGAGAGTCCTGCCAAGACCACTGCTCACCCAGGTGGCTGTGGGTCCCCAAGGCTGCACCCACTAAGGAACGACATCAGAGGCTTCACACTCTGGCTGCAGGAAAGGAGGGGACAGACTGCACTAAAATAACCCCTCCGGTCACTAAATGGGCAGATAAGGATAACAAGCCCCGGCAGCCTTGCATCCATCACACACAGAAAACGGTCGGCCCACGCCTGGCACTGGGAGCCCCTGGGAGGACCAGGGAAGGGGGAGGCAGAGGAGAGCGGAGGCTGGGCCCCCTCTGACCTTTGATTGGCACCATGGAGAATCAGGGACCTGGAACTGCCCACATGCCCGTCCCTCTCCCTTATCACCCGCATTCCACCTGTCACCAAGTCCTGCCCACTTATGTCCCCACAGCTCCCACCAATCTTGCCACCCCCTCCGGGACTGTCCAGAGAGCAGGACTGAGATCCAGATCTGTCTCTCCCAACACACACACACACCCCTCCCTAGCTGTGTGACCTTGGGCAAGTCTCTCCACCTCTCTGAGCCTCAGCTCTCTCAACTGTGAAATAGCAATGATAAAGATGCCTAACGCACAAGACTGTCCTGAAAAATCGGCAAGATTGCCCAGGAAGCGTGCTCAGTGCAGGCCTGGCTCGCGGCCTGTGGGGAACGCTACCTAAAAATGCTGTCATTGTCAGTTCGGACTTCATCTTTTCTCGGCTGCACACTCAGGACAGCCACCCCAGTGGCCTCTCTGTCTCCATTCTTCTCTTCTGCCTCCATCCCCTCCAATCTGTCCTCTCTAACTCAGCCAGTGCCAGGCCCCCGTCTCAGGCTGGTCAAGGTGCCCACAGCTTCTTTTCCAAGAGTGTGGGTCTGGCCCCCCTCGGACGCTGGCTTTCTAGAATCTCCCCTCCAGGGACCCCTGCACTTGTCACAGTGCCCCAGCGATCCCGCTGTGCACTGACACCTGGGACTCAGCGCTCTGCAAGCTGAAGTCTACACTCGGTGGTACAGGATCCAAGGCCCCCGATCCGGCCCCTGCCAGCCTCTCCAGCCTGCTCCTCCCCATCTCACCCTGCACCCTCCAGCTACACCGCAGCACGCGCACTCCCTGCTGCCCATGCTCGCCTGGGACTCTCTGCCTGTTCCCCCTGCCTCCCTCAGGCTGGGGAAGGTGCCAGTCATAAGCCAAATTGCGTCCCCCCAACGATTCCTCTGTTGAAGCCCCAACCCCCAGCACCTTGCTCTGCGACTGGATTTGGACACAGGGCCTTTAAAGAGGGGATTAAGTTAGAACGAGGCTGGCTAGGGCGGGCCCGAATCCAATCTGACTGACGTCCCTATCGGAAGAGGAAATGTGGACACGCAGAGATGCGCCGGGGCACAGAGGGACGGCCGTGTGAGGACACAGCGAGAAGGTGGCCGTCTGCAAGCCAAGGAGAGAGCCTCGGAAGAAACCAAACCTGCTGGTACCTTGCTTTTGGACTTTGGGCCTCCAGAACTGTGCGAAAAGAAACTTCTGTCATTAAAGCCCCAGGTCTGTGCTATTTTGTCACGGCAGCCGGAGCTGACTCGCACGGTGCCCGTCTCTGCCCTGTGCCGCCGACGGCACCTCGCAAAGAACTGGCCACAGCGCTCTACGACTGTGCTTTCACTCGTCATCTCCTCTCCCGCTAGCTCGGGCTTTTTCCAGACGAGGGTGGTAAGCCACGAGCGGGCTACAGCATTGATCTCGAGGGTTCAGCCAGCACGCCGAAGGAAACGGAATGGACTGGAACAGAACATAGCTGAATACATCCCATAAAGACATGAACTGCCCCACGACGCTGGTGCTCCCCGGGTGTATGTCTGTGTGTGTGTCTTTAGCCACAATGTCAAAGATAGAAAGCCACTGCTGTAAGCTGCGTGACCCTCAAGGATGATGTCACACCAGCTCATTTCTGTATGTCCAGTCCAGAAAGAAAGAAAGAAAATGCGGGAAATATACACAAAGGAACACTATTCAGTCATAAAACAGAACGAAACACGAAGCATGTCTTTTGCAGCAATACGGGTGGAACTGGAGGCCATTATCTTACCTGAAACAAGTCGGACACAGAAAGACAAATATCCGCACGTTCTCACTCGTAAGGCGGAGCTAAACAATGGACAGAGAGTGGAACAATAGACAGTGGAGACTTGGGAGGGCGAGGGGGCGGGAGGGGACGGATGATGAGAGACTACTTAATGTACTTAATGGGTACAGTGGATATTATTGGAGGGAAGGACACCCTCCAAGCCCTGACTGGACTGCTACACAGTCTATGCATGTAACAAAATCGCACTTGTATCCCACAAACTTATACAAATTAAAAACAAATAAATAAAAATTTAAAAAAGGATTCATTGCACTGTGGGGCACACAGAAATAAATCAGACCCAGCCTGGCTTGCTCCAGGCCAGGCCCTCTAAGTGCTTTACCAGAATTAACCAATTTCTCGTGAGGCAGGTACATTATTGGCTGCGTTTCACTAGGAGGGAACCTGAAGCACAGCGAGGTTGATGATCTTGCCCGAGGTTTTACAGCTTGGTTCCAGAGTCTTGGTACGGGTAATGAGGCTGGGTGTCATGAAGGCCTTGATGGACTTCAGAGGCAGGGACAATGACATTTAATTAGTGAGAGTCTAGTAAGAATTCATAATAAAAAATTTATATGCGTCTCACAGTTTACAGTGTGTTTTTACACGGATTAGCTCATTTTACTAGATGGGGCAGTATGGAATCTTGGTTAATAGGGCAGGGAACCTGCAGCCTTGGGGCCACGTGTGGCCTTCTGGATCCTTGAGTGTGGCCTTTTAACTGAATCCAAATTTTACAGAACAAATCCTTTCAATAAAGGATAATATTGGCCCCCCTTTTGTGTCTCAACTTTCTTATTTATGAAAGGGGTACAATAAAAGTATTCACCTCATGCCATTGTGAGGATTAAATAAGATAATAATGCCCCCCCCTTTTTTTTTGAGACAGAGACTTGCTCTGTTGCCCGGGCTAGAGTGCCGTGGTATCAGCCTAGCTCACAGCAACCTCAGACTCGTGGGCTCAAGCCATCCTCCTGCCTCAGCCTCCCAAGGAGCTGGGACTACGGGCATGCGCCACCATCCCTGGCTAATTTTTTCTATATATATTTTTTAGTTATCTGGCTAATTTCTTTCTCTTTTTAGTGGAGACAGGGTCTCTTTCTTGCTCAGGCTGGGATAATAATGCCCTTGAAGTGCTTCACGCAGTGCCTGACATACAGTAAGTGCTCAGAAAACAAGTTAAATGATACAATAAGATGCTGGCTTATTTGACTGGTCATGGATAATGTTCTGGACCTGCTAAGCCTCACGACAGCTCTGAAGATTTTGTCTTCATTGTACAGATAATAATACCACATGCTTACTAGGTGCCAGGCATTGCTCTAAAGCACTTTGTTAACTCAGTCCTCACAACGGTCCTGAGGTAGGTGCTACCTATTATAATACCCATCGCACAGGGGAGGAAACAAAGCCTAAGTTAAGTAACTTGATCAAGTTCGCAGCCAGCAAAGAGGAGCACCCAGGCAGTTTGCTTCCAGGGTCTACGCTCTTAATCACACTGCCTTTCAACAACAGGCGAGGAAACAGACTCACAGTTAAGAAAGACTCCTATTCCCGGCGACCGGCTCCAGGTTAAGTTCAAACCCTAGGATTATCGCCATGTCCAGCAGATGGCGCCCCGGCGCATAGCAATCGGCCAGACCTACCACACCCACAATGCTGTGCGGGCATCAAGGGCCCAGCCTCCTCTTTAGCTGTCCGAGGTAGTGCCTGTGGGCGCTCCTTAGACAATGTGTGAACTAAGGCCATTCCAGTCCTTCCCCTATCTGCAGTTGGCAAAGTAAATGTTTTTTCTCTTTTTCTCACCTTCCTTGTCTTACTAGTTGGCGAGAGGTAGGACTGAAACAAGGATGCTATTTGTTGGCCTCACCTGCCCTGGCCTAACGTGAGGACCCTTGACCTCTGACTCAAGATGGTGGCGCCCAGAGCGTCGCTTTTGCTGCTTCCCTGAGGTGAACTAAGCCCGAAGCCCCGCATCATGTCGAAGCTAAGCCGGGCCACTCGGGCCCTCAGGAAGCCCGAGCCTGGCGGCGTGATCCGGACCATCGTGAGGGCAGGCCAGGCCATGTCTGGGCCCCCACTAGGCCCCGTCCTGGGTCAGGTGCGGCCATGGCTGGAACCAGCTGTGGGAGGCCTCGGAGCGGGGGGCTCGTACGCGGGCGGAGGGTGCGGGCTCTGGAGCCGGCGTGGTCTCGCTTCAGAGCTTGGCTCCGCTCACACGCTCTGTGGCCTTGTTTTAGTTACGTAGAGTCTTCAAACCTCAATATGCTTCGTGAGGATAAAGTGGGATGATGCATACAGATCATCTGGCACCCACAGTGCAGTTGAATCTGGGAAGAGGAAAGAGGGTGGGAACACAGAGACGTGAAGACGAAGGAGGGGACGGACAGAGCCTCCTGGCTGGCAGGAAGCCGTCCCCTCCTCCGAGGGCTAACTCCTGTGTCTCTCTCACAGCGAGGTGTTTCCATCAACCAGTTCTGCAAGGAGTTCAACGAGAAGACGAAGGACATCAAAGAAGGCATTCCTCTGCCTACCAAGATCTTTGTGAAGGTGCAGAGTCCGGACTCTGATCCCCGGTTTCCGTCTCCCGCCACCCCGCTAACCCCCATTGTTCTTTGGCCCTGGGACTGGTCACTTGGGGTTGCTACTCCTGACTAGGCACAAACAAGTCTCTGCCCATCGCTGGGCTCCATTTTCCCCATTTACACAGTGAAGACTAGACCGTATTTCTTCCGAGCCCACGTGGTCCTGCCGTATTGTAGTTCTTCCTTTTGCCCCTCCTTTTCTCTGGGGGTTCTAGAGCAGAACTGGGCCTGAAGTAGTGGTGACAAGGATGTTTGCTGCAGATTTATTTTTTTCCCTGGGATTTTGTGGTCTTTTAGAGGGACACCGTAGGGAAGTGAGTTGAAAGAAGCGGGGACAGGATGCTAGAAGTTCCCTGGCATGGGGCAGCAGGAAGCGATCTTCTCATATGTCTTTTTTCTGTTAAGCCCGACAGGACATTTGAAATCAAGATTGGACAACCCACTGTTTCCTATTTCCTGAAGGCAGCTGCTGGGATTGAGAAAGGGGCCCGGCAGACAGGTGAGGGCCAGGCTGGGCACCTGAGATTTTGGGGGCTCTGAAAGGAAACAGTAACACCTGAAGAGGCACTTGTTTCTTCCTCCCAGGGAAGGAGGTGGCAGGCCTGGTGACCTTGAAGCATGTGTATGAGATTGCCCGCATCAAAGCTCAGGATGACGCCTTCGCCCTGCAGGACGTACCCCTGTCTTCTGTTGTCCGCTCCATCATTGGCTCTGCCCGCTCCCTGGGCATTCGCGTGGTGAAAGAGTGAGTGTCTTGGAGGCGCAGTGTGAAGAGAGGGCCCATTACAGTGGAAGAATCAGCTTTTGAGCCAAAAGACCTTAGATTCTAGGGGATGGGATGAGGGTGGCAGGCCTCATTCATTCATTCATTTGGAATATATTTATTAAACAGTTGTTACCTATTAGACATTGTTCTGAACGTTGGAGACAGCCAGGAATGAGGCAGTCATGCTTGACTCTACTCAGGAGTTAGTCGCAGTCCAGAGGTAGAGGCAGATCCATAAATGGAGCGTTAGGGTGCCAGGTGGTCAGCGTTGAAAGAACTGTGGGTGTCTTGATAGCAGAGAGCACGGCTCGTGATTTTTTTTAGTGTGTCAGTGAGGGCTTCATGGGGGAGGTAACATTTAAGCAAAGACCCAGAGAAGGAGGTCAAGAACTGAGGGTGAATGCAGGAAGTGGGGAGGTCCCTGTGAAGGATAGAAGATAAGAGAGGGAAGCCAAGTGCAGTGTGCTCTGGGTGTGAAGTCCTGGGGCAGAGTGGGGAATGGTATGAGGCATGGACCTGTAGGAGGGACCTTTTGAGCTGTGCCAAGTTCAGACTTGCTCCTGGGGTCAACAGGAGTCCCCTCCCCCACCACGGGGCTTCAGATGACCTCAGGAATTGCTTCCTTGAAGTAAGGTACTGGATGGGAAGGCATCTGGCCCAGACAACAGCAGGGACAGGGACAGCATTCAGCTCCTTACTGACCTCTTGCTGTTTGTGTCACACCTCATGCCAAGGCTGACAGTTGTTTCCCAAGAAGACTGGGGCTAAGCATAGAGCAGAGATGAACTTGACTTTTCTCAAATCTTTACTTTTCCTGGGAGCACAGAGATGAGTAAATCTGATTCCTGCTCTGTGGGAGACACACGTGGACAGCCCATGACTTCATCATTGAACAAAGTATTTGGGGGCACAGAAGAAGGGCCAGTTAACCTGGAATGGGGTATAGCTGAGGCCTCAAAGGATGAATAGGGCTTTAATAAGGGAATAAAAGGCAGAGGGTGGTGGGGGTCGTGGGGTGGCATTCCTGGCAGAGGAGACATGAGCAAAGGTATGGAGGCTGGGAAGTCCAGGGAGGGAGACGGGCCAGGCAAGCTGGGCTCTGAGACAGTGACACGGGGCCTTGTGAGCCCCCACCAGTGACTGGCCACTCACCATCTGTCTCTCTTCACCTGCAGCCTCAGTTCAGAAGAGCTGGCAGCCTTCCAGAGGGAGCGAGCCACATTCCTGGCTGCTCAGAAAGAGGCAGACTTGGCAGCCCAGGCAGAAGCTGCCAAGAAGTGACCCTCTGCCCTCCACACCAAGATTCCGAAGGAAGCGGCTGGGCAGGGGGCCAGTTGGGAAAGCTCTGCCAAAGGGGAGGAAGGGAGGTCACACCGACCCGATCATTATTTTCTTGACTTTAAATGATATTTTTACACATACGGCTGTATCAAGGAATCAAGCCTGAATAAACATCCTTTGTCACCCACTCTCAACTTCTGACTTGGGACCCCAGGGAAGGGGACCAGTACTGATGGTAGCCAACATGGACAGACATTAGGAAGTAGGGGTCTTCAGGCTGCTTCGATGTGGAAACCGAGGCTCAGCAAAGCAGTGACTTGCTTAGTACCAGAGGTGGGAGTGGAACTCAGGCCTTCCGACTGGGAATCCTGTGTTCTTCCCCTCCCAGGGCTGTGGGAACGGGCAGGGTGCGTGGGGACCATGGGTGCTGGGCTTGGGTGCTGCTTGCTTCTTCCATCAGAAATCCCTTACGTCCTGGGGCCTTGCCACCTCAGCAGAAACAGATCCTGTGTGGATTTCAGCTCACAGCCCAGGCAGGGTGACCACACAGTACCCAGATCCCAGGGGCTACTCCAGGCCCCCCTACTAGGCTCCTGACCCTGACTCTGGGTCAGACATTAGCTGTACTGGAACTATTGCAGGTTTCGCAGCTACACACCCAGAGAAGGAGCAAAGCTTCAGTAGGTACCTGCTCAAGCAGGAGAAGTCCTTGGGAAGCCCTCGGCCTCTTGTTTTCCCCATTATTTAGAATGTGAACAATTCCTGTCCTTTCAGAGAAGGGAGGAGGCGTTGGGGGAGGAAGGGGTTTGCATTTACTGAGCATCTGTTAGGTGCTAGACACTTCATTTTCCACTGAAAAAATCTGGAAGGCATAGAAAAACACATATAAGAAAATAAAAACGTTATGTAATCCCACTACCCAGTTGGGACTCTTGCCAACATTATGGTGTAGGCCAGGCGTGGTGGCTCATGCCTGTAATCTTAGCGCTTTGGGAGGCTCTCTTGAGACCTAGACTTCGAGGTAGCAGTGAGCTGTGATTGCACCACTGTACTCTGTCCTGGGCAACAGAGACTCTGTCTCTTAAAAAAAATTAGAATATATATATAGGTGTATTTCTACTCTTTATTTTTTGTCTTTGTGTGTATACTTATATGTAGTGCTTTTTGAAAAACAAATTAGGGTCATATTCTATGTACTGTCATACTCTATTTTTTCTTTGTTTTTGTTTTATTGAGACAGGGTTTCACTCTGTCATCCAGCCTGGAACTCCTGGGCTCAGGTGGTCCTCTTGTCTCAGCCTCCCGAGTAGCTATGGCTACAGGCATGCGCCACCACACCTGGCTAATTTTTAAATTTTTTGTGGCGATGAGGTCTCACTGTGTTGCCCAGAGTGGTCTTGAGCTCTCAGACTCAAGCGATCCTCCCACCCCGGCCTCCCAAAGAGCTAGGATTACAGGCAGGAGCCACTGTGCCCAGCCTTGTATTTTCTTTTTTAGTGGTTACATAAGATTTCAGAATACATCCTTAATTTACTAAAATATATCTTATGTTTTACCACTTCCTGAACAATGAAAGAACCTTATAATAGTTTAATTTCACTTACCCATCTCCTGCCTTGTGCTAACATTGTCATGTATTTTAATTCTTGTGGGCTTTATAACATATATAGAAATTAGAGACGTGGCAGCATGGGCACAGAGCATGGATGGGAGGAGGACAAATTAATTAAATAACTATTTAAATTAGTTAAATTTAAATTAATAGTCCTATTAATTTAAATAGTTAATTTTTAAAATATTTACCCACATAGTTACCTTTTCTGGTGCTTTTCATTTCTTTCATCAGTACTATATTTCCATTGCATATCATCTTCCTTCATCCTGGAGAATTTCTTCTAGTATTTCTTCTAGTGAAGATCTGTTGGTGACAAATTATCTCAACTTATTTCTGTCTGAAAATATCTTTATTTAAACTTCCACTTTTGAAGGATAGTTTCATTGGGTATAGAATTCTGTAGGTTGGCAGTTGTTTGTCTTCTGACTTTAGTAATTTTGGTTGAAAAGTTAGCCATCATTCTTATTATCATTCCTTTGAAGATAATGTGTCTTTTCCCACTGATTGTGTTTAAGGCTTTTTCTTTATCATTAGCTTTCAGCAGTTTGACCATGATGTACCTAAGTGTGGTTTTCTGTGTTCTTATTTTGCTTGAAGTTTGCTGAGATTCTTGCACCTCTGGGTTGATGTCTTTGATTAGTTTTGGAAAATTCTCAGCCATTCTTAAAATATTGCTTCTGCCCTATTCCCTCTCTTCTTCTGTTCTCCAATTACATGTGTGTTAGACCTTTTGGCTGTGTCTCACCAATCCCATATGCTCTGTTCAGTCTGAATATTTTCGATCGAACTCACTGTCTTCTGTGTTCAGTCTGCTGTTAAACACATCCAATGAGATCTTAATTTTAGATTTTATATTCTTCAGTTCTGGAATGATGTCCATTTGGTTCATTTTTACAGATTCTGATTGTTGAAATTATTTTTTGATCCATTTGCCCATCTTTTAAAAAATATTTTTAATCTTTCTTATCCATTTGTTCATTTTTTTCTCTATATTTTTAAACATCAATCACAGTTATTTTCTACTTCTT